TGTTCTCCATCAGGTCGCCCAGCCCAATGCCCAGAGCCTAGCCCCCCAGAACCAGAGCCCCAGGCCCCTGAAGGGTCACAGGCTAGAGCTGAGTGTCCCCCCAGCCCTGAGGCCTCACGGAGCCCTGCACGAGGTGCCTACCTGCAAAGCTTGGAACCCAGCAGCCGTCGATGGGTGCTAGGTGGGGCCAAGCCACCTGAGGAGGCCTCTTTGGGGCCTGGGGCTCCTGGTAGTGGAGAGCCTGCAGGTGAGATCTGGTACAACCCCATCCCTGAAGAAGACCCCAAACTCCCAACACCTGAGCCCCGAGGGCCACAGCCAGGCTCCACTGAGCCAGAAGGCCCAGCGCCCCAAGGTAAGCATAAACTTCCTATCTCTAGTCTCCCCAGGTGAGCACAAGCCTCACACCCTTGCCCAAAGCCCATGTTCCTGGACCCTGAGGTCTACTCTCCTGCAGATGCAGCCCCTGCCAGCCCCCCAACCAAAGCCTCCCGCACCAAGTCTCCAGGCCCTGCCAGACGCCTCTCCATGAAGATGAAGAAATTGCCCGAGCTGAGGCGCCGTCTAAGCCTGCGAGGACCTCGGGCTGGCCGGGAACGTGACAGAGCTGCCCCTGCAGGCTCTGTCATCAGCCGTTACCATCTGGACAGTAGCGTGGGGGCACCCGGACAGGCAGCAGTGGTTGGAGGCACCCGGAGCCTGAGGACTGGTTACCTCAGTGATGGGGACTCACCTGAGCGCCCAGCAGGGCCCCCATCACCCACCGCCTTCCGGCCCTATGAGGTGGGCCCAGCAGCCCGGGCACCCCCAGCTGCACTCTGGGGCCGCCTCAGCCTGCACCTGTACGGGCTGGGGGGGCTGCGACCAGCACCAGGAGCTACTCCAAGAGACCTGTGCTGCCTGCTGCAAGTGGATGGGGTGGCCAGAGCCCGGACAGGGCCACTTCGAGGGGGGCCAGACTTCCTGAGGCTGGACCACACCTTCCACCTGGAGCTTGAGGCCGCCCGGCTACTGCGAGCCCTGGTGCTGGCATGGGACCCTGGTGTGAGGCGGCACCGGCCCTGTGCCCAGGGTACTGTGCTGCTCCCTACAATCTTCCGAGGTAGGACACATGGCTACAGGGGTGGAGGGCCAGGGAACACGGTGCACCCTTCCCTCTAGAGTGCCTAGGGGCTAGACTGTGGGAGGGGAGTGTGGCTTTGAAGTAGGGGTGGCTAGGGTGCAGGAACCTTGAGGCAGACCCAGCTCAGGCCCCCTTGTGTCCTCAGGATGTCAGGCCCAACAGCTGGCTGTGCGCCTGGAACCCCAGGGGCTGCTATATGCCAAGCTGACACTTTCGGAGCAGCAGGAAGCACCTGCAGCAGCTGAGCCCCGAGTCTTTGGGCTGCCCCTGCCGCTGCTGGTAGAGCGGGAGCAGCCCCCGGGCCAGGTGCCCCTCATCATCCAGAAGTGTGTTAGGCAGATTGAGTGCCGAGGGCTTCGGGTGAGTCCCCACCTTCCCTGCTGGACCCTCAAACCGCAGCCACTCCTCATGATGCCCAGTGTATGGACACTGAACCCCTCCCCTAAGCTTGAACCATTCCTAGCTCCAACCTCAGCCTAGACAGAGGCAGGAGGCTCCCTCACACTGTAGCGCCCAGCCCAGAACCCATGCCAACTTTAATAGGATGCAGGCCCTTCTGGAGTGCAGGATTTGATGGGGAGAAGAAGTGACTCTAATAACTCACAAATGTAAACTGCCTGCAACTGGGACAAGAGTTATGAAGAGGAGGTATCCGGGGTCTGGGAAAGCTTGAAGCAAAACCTGATTTGGTTGAGGTAGTCAGGGAAGGCTTCTGTGGAGGACTTCACACGTGAGCTAAGGAGGCTCATTGTTTCCTAAGTCAAAGGAGTTGGGAACCAGGAGGACAGGTGAACCAAGTAGAGGGTTTACAAGGCCAGGTAGGGATCTGGCTGACAAGTGTCAGAGGAAGGCAGACTGCAAAGCTACAGCCAGTCCCAGACCACAGTGTCCACAGTACCCTGGCCCATAACTCCAGCCCCCCACCCCACTGGTCCCTGATCAGTCTGTGGGTCCTGCAAGGAGACATCCTCTGCTTTCATCCCCAGGTTGTAGGGCTGTACCGTCTGTGTGGCTCAGCAGCAGTGAAGAAAGAGCTTCGAGATGCCTTTGAGCGGGACAGTGCAGCTGTCTGTCTTTCTGAGGACCTATACCCTGATATCAATGTTATCACTGGTCAGCATGGCCCCCTCTCTCCTGTTTGCTCACCCCCTTCAATTCACTTTAAGGCTGGGCCTATGATCCCTTTGGGACCTCACGCCTTCTTTCTGATCTTGTTTTCACCATCCTGCAATGGCAGCACTATCTGCTTCCTTTTCTCTCCTTCAACCCCCCACTTCTCTCCCCAGCTGACCCATCTGGCCTCAGAAGCCAGGGGTGCCCTGACCAGAAGCTCTGTGTCCACAGGCATCCTCAAGGATTATCTCCGAGAGTTGCCTACTCCTCTCATCACCCAGCCCCTTTATCAGGTGGTGCTGGAGGCCATGGCCGGAGGGCCCCCAAGCAGGGCTCCCCCAAGCCCTGAGGGCACCCGAGGGCTCCTCAGCTGCCTTCCAGATGTGGAAAGGGTGAGTTGGGCCTGGCGGGAACAGCAGAACATGGAGTAGACTGATACCAGTAGAGTATTCACCCATGCCTGGGCCACTAATGGGCATGAGCTTACAGTACAATCATATCCCTACAAAGTAGGTACTATTACTATCCCACATTATAGATTTGGAAACTAAAGTCCAAAACAGCTTAGTGAGTTGCCCAAGGTCACACACCCAGGAAATGTCAAAAATACACTCTGAATATAAGTCTATCAATCTACCTTCCTGGCTGTAGGAATCTGGACAAGTCTCTTCCCTCTCTGTGCCTCAATACCTTCATCTGTAAAATGGGATTAATGCCAGCTCTGCGTAACACACAGAGGAATGGGTTCCAGCCCAAGTTCTGCCATTTCAAAGCTTAGTTGCCTTTGGCCTGTCTTCCCACCAGCAAAATGGGATAATAATATTATTTTTATATTAATACCAAATCATTAATAGTCTTAGCTCTATTAGTTATGAGACCTTGAAACTCAGTTTCCCCACTCCAAGCCGACTTGGTGTCCTGCAGGTACGACAGGGGCCTAATTTTGTCCTCCCAACCTTCTCCCCAGGCCACGCTGACGCTTCTCCTGGACCACCTTCGCCTCGTCTCCTCCTTCCATGCCCACAACCGCATGACCCCACAGAACCTGGCTGTATGCTTCGGGCCTGTGCTGCTGCCAGCGCGCCAGGCGCCCACACGACCACGCGTCCGCATCTCTGGCCCAGGCCTCGCCAGTGCAGTGGACTTCAAGCGCCACATTGAGGTGCTGCACTACCTGTTGCAGTCTTGGCCAGGTGAGCAAGGCTGGAGAAACGATGCTTTCTACGTGGTCTAATCAGAGTCTCCAAATTAAGGCAGGCCACGCCCCTCGTCAGGGTACCTGGTTGCCTCAGCAACCAGTTCTGAGTCCTCCAATCCATTGACATGTCAATCCGAAGCCCGATTGCCACTCTAGCTCATCCCTCTCTCCTTGCAGATCCCCGCCAGCCCCTCGAAGCTCCCAACGTTGCTCCGTACTTGAGGCCCAAACGACAGCCGCCGCTGCACTTGCCATTAGCAGGCCCCGGAGTGGTGACTCGATCACGCGGCCAGGGAGGTCCTGAGAGCCCTCCGAGCAATCGCTACGCCGGCGACTGGAGCGTTTGCGGGCGGGACTTCCTGTCCTGTGGGCGGGACTTCCTAGCTGGGCCCGACTACGACCACGTGACTGGCAGTGATAGCGAGGACGACGAGGAGACAGGCGAGCAGAGGGGCGCCGCCGACTTCGAAGACGACTTCGACGCACCCTTCAACCCACACCTGAATCTCAAAGATTTTGACGCCCTCATTCTGGACCTGGAGAGAGAGCTCTCCAAGCAGATCAACGTGTGCCTCTGAGCCACCTTGTCACTAAAGACCGGGTTCCTGGTTGCTAAGGAGGTGCCGTAACAACCGAGGAGGACCAGACCTGTTTGCTCAGGCCGAGCTCCTGGTTGCTAGGGAGTTGTCAAGGGACCAGACTCCCTTTGCAGAGAATCATTCCCGGTTTCTGGTGCCCAGTATTTTGGACACCAGTTGAGAAGGCCAGGAACTGCGGATTTTAGGGACCAACGGTTGTAGCCATCTTTCCTGAGCACCAAAGGCTTCTTTCCTTGCCAAAAGGCAGTTCTCCCGCTTCCTTGGCTGGCCTCTCTTGCCTCCCCCGTGGCCAGGGAAACACTAGTTACTGTGAGCATCACCCTGGGGTGGTGATACACCTCTAGTCATCCTCTTGCTGCTGCCAACCAAATCAGTATTAGCTTTGAGCACTGTACTCTGTTTCCCTCCCTTGGAGGACCCAAGAACCATCATGAGGTACTGTTTTAGGAGGGGGGCAGCCCCTATCCTAGGCTCAGCTGGATAGGGGCAGTCATAGGCTTATAGAAAGACATCTGGTTTCCCTACCCTCTTTTCCAGGGAAGACCCCATGATTGACCTCCAGCCAGCAAATGGAGATAACGGAGCCTGCCCCTTCCCCTCCCTGATTTCCCTTCCCCTGCCCCTGAAAAAATTTGAGCACTTAACCCCTCCTTCTGGAGGGGCCCCACCTGAAACTTCAGGCTGGGGTTACTTTGGTACGGAACATATTTATTGCCTCCGTGCATTCTGTGTGTCTGTGTGTGAGGACCAGTGTGCATGGACATGTCTGGAGCAGGTGCGTGGGGCTCTTTAAGGGACCACAGAGGGGGGAAGAGTTATAGTACCCAGTCACCCTGAAATCCCTAGTAATGGTGCCTCAGTGGGCCCAAGAGCTCTAATAGGAGAGTAAAGTCCCCTCCTGTCTCCCTCTTCTTTCCCTCACCTCCATCTTTGTGGACAATAAACCAATATGCACAGGTTCTTGGACTGAGTACTTAGGCATGCATGGGCCAGAGTGGTTTATTCACTCTTTAAGAGAGAAGAGGAGAAATGGCAAGGGCACAGTTAGACCCATGGGGGAAAAGGTCCATGAGCTCTCCAGGGCAGCCAGGGAGCCTCTCTGAGCTTTGATCCCACCATCCCCTCCTCAGAGGGGGCAGCAGAGTCACTGGGCTTCATGGGATAGGCCCAAGGCAGGCAAAGATGAGGCAGAGCACAGTCCATGGTTAGAAAGGGAACAGAGCATACTGACCCACAAGGTCCTATACAGAAATGGAGCCATCACGGAAGTCTGTCCTCCCAATAAGGATGTTGACCACAACTGGGTGGCCATCTCGGCACTGCTGCTGGGCATCACGCAACACCTTCACCACCTGGTCCTTGTTGTCCTGTGAGAGCAGTAAGCCCCGGGCTCCTAGACCCATGGCTGCCTTGTGATAATCTAACAGAAAAGATTAAGTCAGATGGGGGTAGGGATGCAGCCCACCATATAACCAGCCCCAAAGGAATGCAAGCCCAGCGGGGATGAGGCAGGGTCCCATCTTCCCAACCCTCACCAGTGTGGGCCAGGCCACAGGCCACATTGCTGCCCAGACAGGGCACCTGCTCCCGAGAAATCTGAGTCCAGCCTGCATCGTTCCCTACCAAGGCAATCACTGGGATCTGCAGGAAGAGGATAACACCAGGCTGTAGCCTTTAGCCCCAAAGCCTGGCCACCCAGAGGACAGGGACAGGAACAGGATACCTCTGCCAGACAGAGAAGGCTCCCTCCCCACCTCCATCCCTGCTGACAACATCTTTCCCAGACCCCAAGCTCTAAGCTTCCCTTTTGGCAATCCGGTCACCTTGTGTCTGACGAATGTGTCAAACTCAATAAGGCTGTATCCAAAGGCTCCATCCCCAAATAGGCACCAGACCTAGAAAAGGTAGTGAGGGACCTAGTACCATTAAGATGGCTCATGGGCCAGAAAGCAGTAGGTCTCCCACCTCTAATACCTCACCTCAGCATCCGGCCGGCTCAGCTTGGCCCCAAGTGCAAATCCTGCACCAACTCCCAGAGTCCCGAAGGCTCCTAGGAGAATGGTGGTATGAAAGATCTGGTGGGTATGAAAGGATCAAGAAAGTGCAAGATGCCCCAGGCATGAGCCCTTCCTTACCAGGATCAAGCCAGCACAGGGGGCCACGGGGCTGTATCAGATGGGAAGCACTGCCTACAAAGTCCCCACCATCAACTACCAGAACTGAGTTGTCTGGCAGAGTTTCCTCCACCAGCTGCAGCACCTGAATTGGGTTCAGGTGCTGGGTCATAGGCATCGCTGCCTTCTCCCTGCAACAAGGGCAACAGAGGTCAACAGGGCCAGCAGTAGAGCCTGATAGGGACTCCCCTCCCATGCCCACGCAATCCAACACCTACTGAAAGGCTTGCTGCTTCTGCCGGTCAGCTTCCTTCAGCTCTTCTGCCCAGTCTGGGGCCCATGTCTGGCCCTGAAGGCCTTCTACCAGCTTCAGCATGAATGAGCCCACATCTCCTGGAGAAGGGAGGAAAAAGCTGTGGGGAGGTGGCTTCCTCCTTTCCAGCACCAGAGGCCCAAAGACAGCAGGAAACCAAGAGCAGCATCCAAGCAGGAGCCCCAGAACAAAACAAATGAAACATACCAGAACCAGAGGAGAGGGAGGGAAAGTCCTGAGAAACAAGACTTAGGCAGCACCAAACAGGTTAAAAGCCCAAGCTGGCCTCGTCACCCCCCTCCTACCTACATCCCAAGTCCTTTCAATTCTGCCTCTGAAACACACTAATAACAATAGCTCTATCCACCAAGCTCTATCCACATCTCTCAAACCCTGACACACAGAACCCCACAGTAAGCATTACTGGTATGAAGGAATAAATAGCCCCGTATGTACCTTACCCCATCTTCATTTTCAAAATGATTAAATGAGGCTCTGAGAGTTAAGCTTCTACCACTATTTCTGTCTTGGCCATTTTTAACAGGTCCCCAGCCTCCACCTAGCCCCTTTCAGCCTGCTGGCCACCAGCTGCTGGAGAGGACCTTCCCAAACACAAATACCACTTCTCTGCTTAACACAAGAGTGCCTCATTGGCTGGGCACAGTGGCTTATACCTGTAATCCTAGCACTCTGAGAGGCCAAGTCAGGAGGACGGCTTGAGTTCAGGAGTTCAACACCAAACTGAGCAAGAATGAGACCCCATTAGCACACCTTTAGTCCCAGCTACTCAAGAGACTGAAGTAAGAGGATTGTTGAGCCCAGGAGTTTGAGGTTGTTATGAGCTATGATGACACCATGGCACTCTAGCCTAGGGCAATAGAGTGAGACTGTCTCAAAAAAAAAAACAAAAAAGTGCCCCATCACCTATACTGCAAGGGAGAGTTAATGTCCTTATGATTATGGACCAAGTGGGTTATGTCAAGATGACAGGATCATGGACAAGGAGTGAGTTCTTTGTTTTGGGCAGTAGGCAGTACAAGAGGGAACATGATCACATGCACATTTCCAAGCCTTCCTCTGTTCCCACCACACTATTTGTTCCTATGTGTCTGGTTGACTCACTGCCCCTGGGGCAAGGTATGGGCTTCAATCACTAGCACCTGGCTCAAGCCAGCTGCATCATAAGACAAAACACTTATGTGAGGGGATACATCAGGGGGCTCACCTTGCACAGCCTCCTGGGGCTTCCAGAAGATGTCTGAGTTGAGCAACATCTCTTTCCGATTACGATTGACAATGACAATCTTGCTGTTGCGGCTGAGGACACGGCCATAGGATAGGCGGAAGTCACACACGATTCCTGGGGTAGGGGACAGGGACACACTAGACAGAGGGCCCATGTCCTGAAGGGTTCTCCTATCTTACTTGATCATGGACTGAGTATAAGAGGGTCCTGTTCTTCACCCCTCCCTGCACCTGTGCCATTGGCAAGGCCTTTACAGTTCCCCACCTCTTGAACCTGGGATGACATTATGATGTCCTTTGGCCAACAATGTGGCAGAGGTGAAGGCAAGCCATTCCTGAGAACTGGCTTGGAGAAGCAACGTAGCTTCTGCTCCCTCTATCTTGAATAACTGTACTCCCCTAGCCCATCAGGTTTTTCATCCCCCACTGAGAAAGCCAGTACAGGTTAACGGGCTGAAGGATGAGAAACATGGTGGGGAGTGAGTGCAGGAGTAAAGAATTCAGTTACCCCAGCTTAGGCCAACCCAGACCAGCTACAGAGCCAGCCAGCCCACATATAGATGAGTGAGCCCAGCCTGGATCAGCACAGCTGCCTACCCAAGTGTAGACTCATGAATGAGCCCAGCAGAAACCAGAAATACTACCTCAATTATAGGTAGATTTTAAGAAAACAAAAACACATTTTAAGCCATTGAGTTTGGAGATGGTTATTATATGGCAATAGTAAATGCTACAGCTTATTAATGCTATATCTATTACCCTTGGCAGGGTTCAGGGCACTTTCTGTGAAAATGTATATTGACTACGAGTAGGCACCCACTAGATGGCCATCCTTTGTGTGAAGCCAGGTCACAGGTGATAGATGCCTAAAGGTACAGAGAGGCGGGAGCTGAGACCCACCTGCCAGGACAATGACATCTGCCTTTTTCAAGGCAGCACTGCGATTTTCCCGGATGTGAAGGGGGTGGTTGCGGCCCAGTAGTCCCCTTGCCATCCCTGCCAGAAAGCAAGGAACACCCAGAGTCTCCACGGCAGCACTGGGAGAGGCAGAGAGAGCAGAGGTCAGCATGGTCAAGGGCCTATCCCCTCCCCACAAAGCTGGGACATGAGAGTAAGGACAGGGCTAGGGCTTCTCACCGAAGCTTATCAGCAGATGTTGGGGACAGCAGGGCCTGGCTTCCCAGTAAAATCAGGGGTCTCTTGGCTCGGCTCAAGAGCTCCACACATCGCTGGACCTGGAATGAGAGGTAAGGCACAAAGGGCCATGCCTGAGTTATCATCAGCCCCCAAGATCAAGGCTCTAATACTGATTCAGGAAGAGAGTTGGTGGCCCTGCCAGATGGGGTCCTGGGCCCAGGAAGAGAGGTGATTCACCTGTTGGGGGGATGCCTGGGGGATGTCCAGGGGAAGGGGTCCCTCAGGCTGAGGCTCCCAGGCCCCTGCAAAGAGGTTGGCCAAGTAATTCTCTAAGTACCTGCAAGGGGGAGAGGAAGGGGCCAAGTAACCAGGATTAATTACAGGGATTCCAGGTGCTATGGAAGGATAAGGGCCAGATGGGGATAGGAGTGAAAGAGTGAGACAGACAAATCCCCAGTGGCCAAGTTTCTACCTGCCTGTTTCCCCTTAGTAGTTTCTGCCAAACACCTCAACTTGACATAGATAGCCCTACCAGGAATAAGTGGCACTGGCTTGGAGTGCCAGGATCAGGGCCACAGCTGTACTTGAGTCCTGGTCCTGCCACTTTCTACCTGTGTGACCCTGGGTAAGTGACTTCACTTTTCTGAGTAAAATGTAAAAAAGGAATGTCCCTCTCAAGGTTCAGGGACTGTAGGCCTAAGGCACTTTAAACATCTGATCAGTGGGTATTAGGAACCATCATCCTCTTCTGCTTCAGACTATGCCTTCTCTGTCTCCCTACTAAGTGGGCTGCAGAGCACCAACTTTTCTTAAGGCCTTGTTTGGGCCCCAGAGACACAAGAATAAATCCCACCCAGCCCCTGCCCTTGAGGAACATTCAAGCCAGGCAAAGACAGAGACGTGGGCACTCACAGGAACTTAGCAGTCAGAACTCAGGGCCAGAAACCTCTGCTTTTTCTGTTAAGGAGGGGCCAAGATTGCAGAGAAAGACAAGAGGCACAGGATGCAACCATGGGAAACCCCAATATTTATAGAAAGGGCCAGAGAAAAGCCAGCCTTATAAAGGGCAGTCTGAGAGAAAAGGAGGAAAATAGGGGAGGAGGCAGGTCCAGAATGAGGCCACTGTACAAAATTACTACTGCCAGAGCCAGCCCTTACATGCTTCTCACACACCTAGAGCACAAGGACCTGACTGTCTTGTCCATCAAGGTTGCCCCATGCCTGTCCTGGTACCTGGCACATAGCTGGCACTCACTAAATATTTGGAAGGGGAAGGGCAAAACAGGCAAAATGAAGGGAAGGGAAGGCAGAGAAGGATGAGGAAGAAGAAGAGAAAGAGGAAGGAGGTGGAGGAGGGGTAGGAAGGCTGCTCTAAGCCTGTCCCTTCTGCTCACCTGCTGTTTCCATGAGGGCCACCATGCTTTCCCACCCCACCAAGTTCATTCCTGGCTCAGGACCTTTGCATAAACTTCCATCTACCTGGAATCCCCAGGGATGAGTCCTCTCAGTCATGTGCAAATCAAAGAAGGATGGGGATAGGTAGGAGACTGCAGGACAGAGCAGGGGATGGAGAAGGACGTGCTGTGCCAGAGGTGAGGAGGACAGAGAAGGGCATGCTGGAGGTAGGGCTATTCACCAGAAGACCCCTCGACCCATGAGGCCTTTGGGCACTGTGGCTGGCATCATCTCCTTCTGGATGATGAAGTAGGGGTAGAGCACATCAACGGGAAGCTCCACAAACACTGGACCTGTGGGGGCAGGAAGAACACTGAGCCTGCGACATCTCCCCCAGTCCCTAAGCCCCAGTGCCTGACCACCCCTACTCCCACTGACCTGGGGTGCCTGACTGGGCAGCAGCTATTGCAGCCCTCAGGGTGGGCACGATATCCCGTACCCTTCGCACAGATGCACAGAACTTGCAGAGTGGCCGGAACAGAGACATCTGATCAATGGCCTGGAGTGCACCCCGGTTCTGGTAGAGACAGGATGGGGTAGGGGTGTCATATAAGCCCTCTAAGTCTCTCTGGACACCCCACCACCTCCCAAGGTCTGGATACCTGCATCAGAGTAGGGGCAGCCCCACCCAAAAGCAGGACCGGGGACTGGGACATCTGAGCATTCTTCACTGCAGTCACTGTGTTGGTGAGGCCAGGGCCTGCAGTTACCGCTGCTACACCCACAACCCCTAGAACAAAGACCCCATCATGGCTATGTCCACCTTCCAAGCCATCACCCAACCCCGTCTCCCAAAATCCCCACCCCTTACAGACACACCATCCTACATTCCCACCAGGCCCCAGCCCTCCCTGCAATGCCCTCACCAGTTAGGCGGCCCACAGCATCAGCAGCAAAGACAGCAGTAACCTCATGGCGTGTGTCCACCACCCGGATGCCCAACTTCTCACAGGCCACAAGCAGTGGGGAAATGTGCCCCCCAACAAGTGTGAAGAGGAACCGCACACCATGGGCCCTCAGCACAGCTGCCACATTCTCCCCACCATGCCGGACACTTGCCTTGTCCACCTGGACAGGGGAAAGGGGAGGAGCAAGGAAGTTAAGAGCCAAGGCAAGAGCAACTCAGGAGAGAGGACAATCCCTCTGCTCCAGGTAGGGGGAATGGAGTAGGGTCAGAAGTCAAGGGAACTTCAGTTTTAGGCACACATGATACTATACACCAACTTCCAAGCAAGGCATACTATCTTATCAGATCCTCTTAACACTATAACCCTTCATATAGCTAAGGATACCAATATTTGCCCTAGCAAGATTCAAACTCTGATAAAAACCCACACTCTCAAGCACCCTACTCTGTTCACTAACCACCTCCAGGACTGCAGAGCAATCAGGGAGAGAAAGGGAAGATGGATCTACATAACCTGAGGGAATTTGGCCATAGGTACAAAGCAGGGAGTCATCTGCTGACTTGTGCCTGCCCTCTGGCATCCCTGCAAGCCTGACAGCTGGACTGCTGATTTCCTCACTCAGTGCTAAGCAAGCCCAGGCCCAGCTGATTGGCTCCCAGCCACCAGGTGCCTGGCACAGGAGTGGCCTGCCAGCACACACACTCAAGAACTTAGCCTTGACTCTCTCCACAAATCATCAAGTACTGTGGCATTGCTCCTGGCTAAGCAGTTAGACCTAGCTAGGAGAAAAATGCCTCAGGAGAGGGTTTGAGGAAGGGGTTTATCTCTGACAGAATAGCAAGTAGTTCAGAGCAAAGCCTTTGGGGTCAGCTCTTCCCAAACTGGTCACCTAAGGCAAACTCCCACACAATATCTCTAAGCCTCAGTTTCCATTTGCAGAAAAGGAGGACAGAAACAACAGCACCTTACTTTCAAGGATGTGGTAAAAGACACATAAGAAAATCCCTCTAAAGCACTGAGCTCAGCCTAGGAAAATTATCACTGTCACCCCCTTAGGTGCCCTCTTGATCCCACTGGGTTTAGGAAATACAATGTGAACTATCCAACTGCTCTGTGAAAAGGGCTGGGCACCCCTGGGGAAGGAAGCAGGCAGAGTGTGAGTGCTCAGGCATTGGTAGTTTCCAGACTATCGCGTAAGAGTGGCAAAGTCCAGAACCCTATATGCAATTCAGCAATGCGGACAGGGCCCTGGACTAGCTGGGGCTTGTTTTCCCTGCCTGTAAAATGGGTGAGCTGGAAGGAGCACCATGAGGTCCTTCCTCTTTGGCTGCCCCAAGCTCGCCTTGCGTCTGTCTCCACCCTACCCGCCTCACCGCACCTTGTGCATCAGCTGATAGAAGAGCCCCAGGCAGTGCGCTGCGCCCAACAGGGCGGCCACCAGCGTCCCGCAGGCCAGGAGCAGGAAGGAGGAGAAGCAGCTCCCGGCAGGGGCGGCGGCCATGAAGGTCTCCATGAGGTAGCAGCTAAGGACGAAAAGGTAGTGCCAAGACCTGAGCGCGACCGACAGCAGGAAAAAAAAGCACACCCGCGTTACAGGGCCAGGTCCCCTGTTGCCAGCTTCGGACCGGCCACGCCCCACCCCAACCAGGTCACGCCCCTTGGACGCTAGGGCCCCTCCCCGCGTGAGACCACACCTCTCTGGGGCCAGGCCACGCCCCTCACAGTTCTAGCCCTCAGTTCCCTACACCACCACCACCCACTCCAGGCAACCGCACGTTAATTCGGCGACAACAGCATCGAGAGTTATTTTCCCACTCACCTATGTGTCACGGCAGGAAGCCCCGCCTCTCTTTAGCCTGCCCCACGTTACGTCATCAGAGGAACGAGGCCACGCCCCCTTCTTAATCTAGCGACTTTCTATTCAGGGCACGCCTGTCTCTCTGAAGAGCGCTGAGCTGGAACTTGACCCCCGACCTCAGGCCACTGGCTGAGATCGAATCGCATCAGGATGGTCCTCAGACACTGGCTCAACCACCGAGGTTCTTCGACCTTCATGTAAAGGAAATGGCGCTAACACCGGAAGAATTCGGCGCCCTCGATGTCACGTGATCCCGGCGCTCTGCCGAGCCCTTTTTCAGGCCACTTGGCTCAGCTGCTCCCGGTAGTCCAAGTCCAAACCGAAGAGAGTGCATAGAGCCAGAGTCATTACTGGCCGCCTTGCGGACAAGCTCCGCCTCCCTTCACTTTTCATTGGTTTGCACTGTACGCCTCTCACTTCTTTTTTTTTTTTCTTTTTTTTTTCCCCCTTTTTGCCAAGAGGCTACGCCCCTGGGCATCTTCATTCGCCAGGATCTTTGTGGGCCCACTTTCCGCAGCCTTCCACTGGCCCCACATCTCAGGCCCGTAAGTTCGAGCCCCGGGAGTGCTGCTCGCCATCTCCACCAGCCGGGCGAGTGCCTTTTCACGTAGGACGGAGGTGGATGAGCCGGGTCAGCCAACCCCAACGTCTGGGACCTCATCCCAAGTAAGCCCCTTCGTGGCCCCAGCACTAGGTCCCGCCCCTTCGTCTTTAGCCCTGCCCCAGTGTTGGCCTCGCCCCCTTTTCCCGGCCACTTTGTTTGTTTAGCAGGCAGAGGAATCGGCTAGTAGGAATCGTTAATTCCCTACTGCAGCCGTCCTACCTCTAGCAAATGATCTCCCGATCAGTAACGGGAGAATCTTTCTGGTATCTCTGCTTCTATCCAAGACAAATCCTGTCATTTGGGGGCTCCCACCCCTGCCAATTCCGGGGATTTCCCTCTGAGGATCCTGCTCCATCGGCAATTCTCCTTCTATCGAATCATGCCTGTGTTCTAATATCACCCCTTTAAAAACGAAACAAAAAAAAAAAAAATCCTTACCTCGCTGGCCCCTCCACCTGATATACTGCTTTACTTTTTAGCAAAATTCCTCCAATGTAAAATTTTGCTAAAATCTATGCTCACTCAGCTTCCTACTTTCTCTTGAAGCCCATGTAAACAGATTCTTTCCCACCACTCCAAGAGAGCTGTCCTGGATTATTCCAAAGCTTCCAAATAGGTCCCACTCTCTGTCTGTCAGCTCAGCTGTCACCATGGGACAACTCACAGTTGTGTTAACACTTGCTCTCAGATCTTCCCTGTGCAATCCAGCCCGTTGCCCACAGTGGTAACTTGCTTTTGAAATAAACTACTCACTCGCTCTGTCTACTTCTGGGTAGCTCAATCTAAGACCCAGAGCTTGGTAACAAAAATATATTCATAATGTTCTGATGAGCAGATGAGTAATTTCTCACCCACAAGACTAGCAACAAGTATCTAGACTATAGAATGTGGCTATATATATATATATATATATGAAAAAGTCTGGAGCCTTCCAGCTGTCCTTTTGGACAAAAGCATTGCCCGTTAATCAGAAATTTGGCACTGAGAACAATAATTGGCATTTCTCCAGCAAAATCCTTTGGTCTGAAGCAAGGTTGGGTAAACTTTGCCCAACTTGAAATGAACCTCCTAGATTCGTGTTTGTCTGAAACTCATTTCATTTCAGGACTCATTTCTACCACATAGGTCACAAGCCAATCAGGGGTTGGTTTTAACACATGGTTTCCCATACTTGACCCATTTGAACTTCACATTCACAACCTTGATCCCATCAGTTCTTTATTTGTTAACTAAACTTTTTACTTTGGAATAATTTCGGATTTTGTTTAAAAGTCATAAACCCTGCACCCCACTGTCAACATCTAACAGAATCAGGGTGCATCTATCAAAACCAAGAAGCCAATGTTGGCACATTAATATTAACTAAATTCCTGACTTTATTCAAATGTCTCCAATCCTGGGATCCCATCCAACATCCTACATTTCATTTCGACCTTCTGTCACTGAAGGACCATGAGTATATTTTAAACACATAAGTATATTACTTATTTGATCCTTTTTAACAGCCCTATAACATAGATATATATGCATTCTGTTCATTTGATAAAATAAAGGTGAGATGACAGCATCAGTAGTGTCATGGAATTAAGGAATGATAGAAGCATGAGTTGGACACAAGAAGGCCAGCTCTAAAGTTCTTACTGACCACACTGTAATTTCCTGGAAGAGAAGCCTCCCTTTTGTTCAGTTTCATACTAGTAATATTGTCCATGACCTCACATTTTTATCTATTCATTACACACTCTCTAATACCCTTTAAAATAAATGCATCACTATGAAAACAAAAACCATGCATCCTCGCTTCTCTAACACCATAAATTCTACCTTTTAGGGAGTTGCAAGCATACACCCCGACGGACATTGTTCATATTGACACATACAGTGCCCAGAGCTAATCTGAGAGCCTTGGGAAGGTTGCAGCTCCTGAAACCAATCCCCTACAGCCTACAAAATGCTTTCACTGTTTGCCACTTACTATCACAAACCTGATTGTTTGGTTCAACCTTTAATAGTGGGCCTGCCACTGGGAGATTAAGGCACAAAATCCAATGTTAGTGCACTAGTTTCGTAGGCCTGAGAAAGTTAAAACAACAGAAATTTATTCCTTCATAGTTCAAGAGGCCAGAAGTCCCAAATCAAGAAATTGAGGTATCAGCAGGGTTGGTTCCTTTTGAAAGCTCTGAAGAAGAATCTATTTTATATATGGTTCTCTCCTGCCTTCGGGTAGCTGCCAACAATCCATGGCAATCTCTATATATTTACCTATTTTTTTAGCCAGAGGATCTTGCTTTATCACTCAGGCTAGAGTGCAGTGACATCATCGTAGCTCACTGTAGACTCAAACTCCCGAGCTCAAGTGATCTTCCCACTTCAGCCTCTTGAGTAGTTGGGTATATAGGCACATGCCACTACACCCAGTTAATTTTTTACTTTTTTGTAGAGATGGAGTCTCCCTCTTGTTCCAGCTGGTCTTAGAATTCCTGTCCTTAAACGATCCTCTTGCCTTGGCCTCCCAGAGTTCTGGCATTACAGGCATGAGGCACTATGCACAGCCCAGTCCTTGGCATTCTTAACTTGTAGATACATCACTCTGGTCTCTGGAGCTGTCATCACATTGCCTTCTTCTTTGTATCCCTGTATGTCCTCTTTTGTCTCTTATAAGTACACTGTCACCAGGTACAGTGGCTCATGCCTGTAATCCCAACACTGCAGGAGGCTGAGGTGGAACAATTGCTTAAACTCAGGAGTTCGAGACTTGTCTGAGTGAAAATGAGACCCCAACTCAACAGAAAAGTAAAAATCACAGCTGGGCCCTGTGGTGAGCACCTGTAATTCCAACAACTCTGGAGGCTGAGGGAGCAGGATACCCACAGCCCAAATCTGAGGTTGCAGTGAGCTACGATGATGCCACTGCACTCTGCTCAGGGTGTAAGGTGACACTCTGTCTCAATAACAACAACAGCAAAAAAAGAGCACTTGCCATTGGATTTAAGGTCCACTCTAATCCAGGATGATCTCATTTTGAGACTCTTACCTGAATTATATCTGCAAAGACCCTATTTCCAAATAAGGTCACCTTCTGAGGTTCCAGATAGACAAGAATTTGAGGAGAACACTATTATACTCACTGAAGTTGGGTTATAGATTCTCTCTCGGAATTTTGAAACAGAAAGGGAGAGAAAAAGAGGTAATCTGTGAGAAGCATCCAGGGATACAAAGATCTAGAGACATAAGCAGTATGAGGCTCAGACATGAGGCACAGAAGCCATTAGGAAGCAGAAGATATGAGGCTGGAAAAAAGGAAATTGAGAAAATCATCAAGGGGCTAGCTAAAAGTAACACAAGATGCTGGGCAAGGCAGCTCATGACTCTAATCCCAGCACTTTAGGAGGCTAAGCAGGGAGGATTGCATGGGGCAGGAATTTGAGACAGCCTGGCAACAGAGTGAGACCCCATCTGTAAAAAAAAATAATAATAAAATTAAGAAATTATCCAGGCACGGTGGTGCACACTTATAGCCCTAGCTATTCATGGGGCTGAGGAAGGAGGATCACTTGAGTCCAGGAGTTTGAGGCTGCAGTGAGCTGTGATCACACCACTGTACTGTACCTAGCCTGGGAAACAGAGAAGATCTCATCTATTAAAAAAGAAACTAAATGAGCAACACAAGAGCAGAGGAGTCATCCCCAAAGTGATTGGGGAGTAACAAATACCACTTACTGGAGATTAAGGACACTGGAGGGAGTTTGTGTACCTTGCACACAACAAGCTGAAGCACCTTGATGTAGTCTTGGTAAGAGAGCTTAGGAGCAGACTTGGTGAAAGGGGTGAGGGTTGGCTGGAACTGCTAAAGTGGAGACAGCTAGTCTAGACTGCTTTCCCCAGAAGTGTGGCTTGGGAAGACATTACAGAAAGGCATCTGGCTGATACAAAGAGGTGTATGTTTTAGAACCAAGAAGCAACAACCTCAAAACAGGTTTTTCCACATTCCTTTTTTTTATTCCAAGATCATATTAATGTTCAGATGTTACCCATGCTAAATCACAGGCCTCCAATCTTAAGGTCTCTCTCCTTTGATCTTAGAAAGAGATAAACTGACATTCACAGGGTCTCAATCCATGATTACAACTTTTGCACTGCTCCCAGAGAAGAAGAACCCCCAACCCCTTGTTATACACTCCTCCACCCCCAAAATAAAAAAACCTAAGTGTTACCAACAATGGGATCCAAATGCAGCTTTTTCCTCCTCATGCTATGTATTGAAAGAGATGGGCTTCTTTAAAGATACTGTAACAGAAATACTAAACAGTGGCAAGCACAGTGTGGCTAGGGGCTGAGGAAGGAAGAGAATGGAGAAGTAATTATTTAATGAGGACAGAATTTCAATTTTGCAAGATGATAAGAGTCCTGGAGATAGATAGGAGGTTAATATTATACCACATTATGAATATACTGTTTGCCATGCACAGTTGTAAGTGTACCATTGCACTATATGCCTAGAAATGGTTAAAATGGGACATTTTGGCTTGCTGCTGTGGCTCTCATCATAATCCTGGCACTCTGAAAGGCCAAGGCAAGAGGATTTCTTGAGGCCAGGAGTTTGAGACCAGCCTGAGCAAGAGCAAGAACAAGGCCCCGTCTACAAAATATAGAAAAATTAGCCAGGTGTGGTGACACAGCTACTCGGAGGCTAAGAGAGAAGGATCACTTGAGTCCAGAAGCCTGAGGTTATAGTGAGTTATGCTGACACCACTGCACTCCAGCCTGGGCAACAGAGCAAGACCCTGTCTCAAAAAAAAGGGGAGGGGGGATGAGAAATTTTACAATATGTCTATTTTGTTACAATTTAAAAATATATATTAAGTAGCAAACATAAGCCAGAGGCAAAAGGATAAAATATCATATGATTCCATTTATGTAATGTAAGTACTTAAAAACCAGAGTAGTCAAATTCGTAAGGGCAGAAAGTAGAATGGTGGGTACTGGGGGCTGGAAGGAGGAAG